TAGGGTTTGAGTGAACAAAATGCGTTCCTAAGCATTGACAAGAACAAGTTTTGTGCTTTTACATTGCTACTTTTTAAATTTTGCAGAAATGTTAACAAAAATTATTTGAGGAATATTTATTTAGTTTAGCTATTATGTTAACGAGCTGCGAGTAAACTAATTTGCATAGCGAGAATAAGGTAATGTTTGCAAATGTTTAGCAACATTCAATTTTATTTTTCGAAAAGAAAAGGAGAACTGGATGTTTCTTTTATTTTAGTATAAAAAAGTGCAGCAATAATGAGTAGTATATCAATAAAGTTTAAAAATTAATTTAGAGACAAATTAAAGTAAAAAATTAAATGTACATTAAATATACATTGATTTTTCGCCATCTACGTTTTACCACCTATAGCAAAACAGTAATAGCTGCAAGCCTTTGTTTTATAATTTTAATGATGTATGTTAAAAATTCTGTGATGATTAGTAATTATTTAAAACTATGTAAATAAATAATATATATATATATACTTTTGAAATTGTATTTGAACGGATTGTATTTGTGTATTTGTGTATTTGAACGGATTGTATCATTGAATTGTATTTGTCGGATAGTTTGGATCTTTTGAGGCTTTATGCAAGCATTTAGTAGGAATAAAAAATTGAAACTCCTTCCAAAAAAACTTACGTAATACAAAAATTTAGAAATTAGAATTTGGAATTTTCAAATTTCACGAAATCAAATTGGATGATTAGAATCTAAAAAAAGTAAAAATTAATTTGACCCTTCATTTCACACCTTTGCATCTCTTCAAAACCAAGTATTTTCTCCGCTATTCTCCATAATTCAATGTTTGAAACTGCTTTGCACATTTGCAAATGTGCTTGTTTTCATAAGGGAAAGGTATAAGCAGTCAGGGGTAGTTTCAATGTTGAAAGACATGCCATTTTCCTCTTACTGCTTCGTTAGTTAGGAGACTTCTACCATTTCGGTAAGAGGGATAACTTCTGTTCTGATGCTTTAAGATAAGTTTGCAATTTGCAGCTTCAATCATTTTATTTCTTATATTTCAATTTTTATTTCATTTTTGATGATTTTGAACTTATTGTTTCAAAGATTCTATTGTTTAGATTCACGTGGAGCATTAGTGCGAATTTATAAAATTTTGCGGGTATGCAAAGTGATTAAAATGCTTTCAAAAAATGGAATTGATTTTTTCTTGCGTTCATCGGCCAATCCTGCATATGAAAACAATAATTATTATTCGTAGCTTTCAAAAGTGTGGAATCGAAGGTTAAACATAGACTACTCATTGGCTACAATGCATATCAGACACAAAAAGATACAAATTCATTTTCATCAAAGAACGATGGAATAAAGGCATTTATCTGCATTTTATTACTGTTTAGTACGAAAAAAAATAAAGACTGCTGAAAAACTAATTTCAGAAAACTAAAACAAAATGCATAAAATAAAAGAAAACAATTTTATATAAACTATGTAGGGTTAACAAATTTCAATTTTTTTCTGTTTCAATTCACTAAGAAGAATATACTAAAATGAAAGTTAGGGTTTGAGTGAACAAAAATTGTTTGTAGGAAACATTTTTCTCTTTAAGCATTTGTTTCAGTCATTGTTTACAACTGGTTGACTCAGGAGTTAGAAGCTGTTTAAGATCAAAAGAGAGCAAAACATGATAAAATATATTACTCTGATTTAAAATCAAAGCTCTCAGGTGATTTAACTTGTCAACTCGAAATTGTACTGTTGATTTTTGGTTTTCTATTTTCCAAACTTATTTTTACCATCGCCTGATCAGTTTACTTGGATTTTTTGTGTTTTCCTTTGCTTAGTCCAAGCATACAGTTTAAATAAACTCACATATAAATGCAACATTATGAATCGTCAGTATTTATACATATTTTATTGCAGGTCAATATCTTGATGTCAAGAGAATGTTAAGCAAACATACAGCTATAGTGAAAAATTAAATAAAAATTTAAAATATAATTAGCATATTATGTAAAACAAAAATTTTACGTAAATGATTTTTCATTAATCCATTCTGAATTTGTCCTAAATTTAATTAACTAATATTTGGAAATTATCAAAAAGTTTTGTTTTATATTTTTCTATTTTTATTTTGCTGGGTATGAAAAATATTAAACAAATAAAAAATAAGAAAATAAATTAAGTAACAATTGAAAAATATTGAAAATATATGTTTTGTATTTCACTTTTTAATTTGCTGAATATGAAAATAAAATAAAACACATATTAAGAAATTAATAATATATTTGCAATAAAGAGTATGCCCTGTGAATTTATTTAAAAATAGCATGATCATTAAATGCACATTTTTAAGAAGTAAAACTATTATTACTGTTCCTTGATATTTTTGTATAGTATAGGAAATGGAAAAAAATCAGCACACATTTTACTTAAGGTTTACAACTGTCAAAGCAAACAGAAAAGGAAAAGACAATATTGGCAAAGATAATTTAAAGAAAAAACATTTGTAAAAAACATTTCTTGAGAACTAGTTTATTATTTACTTTTCATTGGTAATAACTTTAAACGATGTGCAACACTAATGTAATTTTTTTTCATTTTTTTATTCTTTATTTGTAAGGGAAGGGAAATGGAAAAGGTGCATTTAAAAGTCAAAAAAGTTAAAATGGTTCTGTAATTATTTGATATTTATCTTTTAGGATTTCAGTATTTATACCTTTGTATATGTTGCAAATTTTCAATATTATACAGTTCGGCAAAATGAATAAATAAATAAAATAAAACCTATCTTCCATGTGTAAAATATATTTCTTTATAAAATAAAAAACGAAAATAACAGTAAGTTCTTCAAAATACTGCAAACCGTTCCTTTGGCGGTAAATCTAGTGTTTTTGCGCCAAGTTGGCATTAGTACTATTTCTAAACTTTCCTTCAATCTTATCTTCCAAACATTTGAAGAACACCGAATCATTTCTTCTAGTACCTAGATATTCATTGAATGAATAAATGAATTTTTTATTTCGATCAAAACGATAAAAAAAACGAAATCTTATATTTTTCAAAATTTAGTTTCTAAAGATGTTTACATCATGAAAATAAATTAGATAATACCTTCAAAAATTTCTGAGTGTTCCCTCTCACTGGGTGCTCTACAAAATTTATACTGTTTATCTCATTCATTTTAAAAATTTTGAACAATATTTAATGATGGTTTTACATTGGACATTTATTTTGTTGTGTATCGTCAATTTTTGCGCAAGAAATCTGAAGGCTGGTAAGACATTTTATATTGTATTTATTTAAATATATATGAATGAAAAATATATTCTTTGTACATATTTCACATTATAAAAACTATAAATTTTAACCAAAAAATGGAAATAAAACGCATTTTAATTATTATGTTAGTAAGTTTATATTTTGATAGTTTGAATGAAACTTATGTGAATTTTTTTGAGTGAAATTTATATTTTAAAATTTCGTCAACATAACATATCTTTAAAAAATCTTAAAAATTTCAAATTATTCTACGTCTTCATTTGTATTTTATACCTTAAATCTGCGATGCATTTAACTGAAAGATGTATGTAATACTCATATTTGCATTTTATGAAACTTTTTTAAAGACTACAAGAGGTTCTTAAAGTATTCATAGTGTTTTCTTGTTTTCCTTAAATATTCAATTGGTACCTGATTTTCCTATATTTGTAATTTCGATTAAATTACAAAGATTTGAAATTTATATGTATAAATTTGCTTTACAAACTTTAGTTACTCTTTCTCTTAGAAGATATTTTAACCAAGTATATATTATGAAGAAAAGTCAATGGATTTTAATTTAAATATGGAAATAATAATTTTTGCTTGAAATTTTATGCAAATTTTGGAGAATAATTTTTAATGAAAACTAGGAATATTGCAAGCAAAATGATAAAAAAAATTATTAACTCATATTATAATTTGTGCATAGAATATTTCAAAATTCAACATCAGTAAATGCTTTCAATAATTTAAATTCTAGAGAAAAAACATTGCATTGACATCATTTTAATACACATATTTATAAAAAACAATCGTTCAAAATGTCATGATAAATGTGATATTACAATTGTAATACGAAATATCTAACTACCTATTAAATTTTTACATTCTAGAATTGCAATAGGACCCGTTCTTACTTTAAATTTAAAAAAATTCATGATAACATATTTTATTTAAGACCTAATTTACATATTTTAACCAAATCTTTACGTAGCTTCAAGTTGTTAAGGCTACAGATTTTAATCAAACTCAAAAATTATTTTTTTAATTAAAAATTTCAGTTCTAAATAATAAGTTTCAACTTCATTTTTTTTTCTTTTTTGTTTTTTTATGAAAATAAATGCAATTTCAAGCAGATACGATATTTAAATAAATGAACTTTGCTGAGTTTTAAATACTTTGGATAATAAAGCAGCTGATAAGTCAATTAAAATAATCTATTGAAATATTTAAAAAGTATGAGTATATTTAAAAAAAAATCTTTCAAGATTTGGAAAGCACGCTTAACTAAAGTTAAATTATTGAAAATATTTTTGTTTTGGAGGGCATTTTAGTTTTTCTTTCAGATAATTTAATGGCTATTCAAATGAATGTGGATATATTTCTTTTGTACAATTTTTTAAACATAAAGCACAGAAAATTTAAATTTGGCTTTTTTATAAAAATGAACCCAACTCACATATTAGTAAACTGCTTTGTTTATTTATATGATGACTGAAATGTAGTGTTTTGAATACTGTACGAAGAATAAGGAAATTTCAGAACGTTAAGAAAACGTACAGAAAATGTACATCAGGCTTAAATCATATAAAAATGAACCAACCTCACAAATGAATAAACTGCTTTTGCTAATTTATATGATTAATACTGCAAGTAAAATAAGGCAATTTCAGAATGTAATGTAACAAATATCAAATATAACGGTCAAACATAAAATTTCCCTTTCATTTCGCATCTAAAGTAATAGCTGTGATTTGAGATTTCCCTTTTGAATTAATTTACCGATATCGTTACTAATGACCACTACATATACATAGGCTCTAATTACAAACATTTCCCAGAAGAAAAGAAACCGTGATTGTAATTATCTTTAACGACCCATATTGCTATTAAAGACATTGAAATTTTTTTCCCAAATAATAAATTATGCAAGAATAAAAATATTCTCTTCGATATGTGGAATTCTTATAATTAAAAATATACATCTTCAAAATTTGGATTTTGTTTTCATATGATATCAGAATTGATGGCCTTATTTTATTATTTAATGCCTCAATGAGAAAAAAATTCCAGTAAAATTACTGTGTTTTATAGAAATGATATGTCTGATAAAAAAAAATAATGATTGTGGTTAACAAAACCAAAATAAACGGTATTTAAACCATTCATTTGGATTTATTTCAATTTATATTGTAGTGGTTTACCAAAAATTCTGGTATTATTAATTATATTTTATTGCTATACAATTAGTAATTAATACAAAAATTAAAATTAAATTTAACCGAAGAAATTGCTTACTCTTATTTGTGAAGAAGTTACCAATTTTTTTTTACATTTATCAAAGTTTTTCACAAATTATAAGACCATTTTTTATTATTCATTTTACAAAATTCATGACAAAGCTCAGGGACAAAAAATAATGAGCTTTTTTGAATTCCCATAGAGCAAGAAGCACAGTAAATTTCATTATATCCTGCTAGTTGCAATCGTACTTTTATTCTCTGTAATGGTATACCTTTTCCATTGACCTTAATGGTGTAGTTTTTTTATAATCATTCTTAGAAATATTCTTTTTAAAATACGTGTCCAAATGTGAGAAACAGCTTTTGAAGAATCTACAGAGTGAAAAAGCAAAATTGAATAAAATGTTGTTTGAATTTTTAAACAAAGTTTATTTCCCAACCTTAATTTACTAACCCTTAAGAATTGTTCGTAAACTCGGCTGCAATTTATACAGATAGTTGCTTTTTAAATGTTTAACGATGTATGTCTTAAAAAAGTACTCAATTATGATTATTTGATTAACACACACACATATATATACAAAAGAAATAATTGAATATTTATCTAATTAGAGCATTAAGAAATATTGGCTAAAGAAAAGTAAAAACTATAGATTTAGTTTCATGCTATCGTTAAGAAAAATTATACTTCAGAATAATGAATATACATCAAAGCATAGTAAAAATAATTCTAGTAATAAGTTATACGGTATAAAACATAGCATTTGGTACAAAACAATCTTTTTCTTATAATAATTGCTTAAAAATAATTCAATTTAGTATCAAAATTTATTTTTTCGAAGCGAACTATTAAATGAATCGAACAGCTTCTCGAATTATCTAATGGCCAGATTTTCGAAGGTGTGATAACCTCTAATACTGGGTATAAAATCCCGATAGAGAAGCGTGTCTCATTGTAAAAATGAAATAAATCTATTTTTCACTGCATTATTACCTAAAATGTATATTTATTTGCAGTTTTTCTGATTTACTTTTCGCTGTCTAATGACCTCTTCCTTGTTATAGTCAACTATTTTTTATTCTATCATGAATAATCGAAACCGAAATTAATATAAATTTTATTGAAATTCCTATTGATTTAAATGTTAGCATTTTATTTGTAAACCAAGCATTAATCCAAAATCTTGAATGATTTAAAACTTTATAAAAATAATTCAGTTAAAATATGTAAAAAAAATCCAAAAATATTTAATATGTTTTCTAACTGTTCTACGCTAAGAGCATCAGAGGAAATATTTATGAAAGTTCTTAAAGCTATCATAGGTTTTGCAGTGAATGTTTCTAAGATTTTTTTTCTGCTTGGATTTATCAGTAAATTACTGAAACCATATGACTAAGGGAATTGAATATATGTATGTATTAAATAGAAAGAAAATGTACTTCTAAAAGTAAAGCCTTTTCTTATAACCTGAGCATTTGTTTTAGAAAAATAATCCGTAACACTATTTTAAATTATCATATGCTTTGCAATAAGTGTTTCTAATCAGGAGTCTTTTTTTTCTGCTTAGGCTTATTGGTAAATGACTAAAGCTATAAAATGTAAAGAATTAAATATTTGTGAATATAAATAAAAAGAAAATAAATATATAATTCTAATAGTTAAAGCATTTTTTTAAATATAACCTGAGCACTTGGTTAAGAAAAATAATCCTTATCATTTTAATCCTTTAGCACTTCCATTCACTTCAGATCCTTAACACTTTTTTAAGTTATCAAATGCTTTACAGTAAATGTTTTTAATCTGGAGTCATTTTTCTTCTGTTTATATTTATTAGTAAATGACTAATACCATATGACTTAAGGAATTGAATATATGTAGGTATTAAATAGAAAGAAAATGTTCTTCTAAAAGGTAAAGCCTTTTCTTATAACCTGAGCTTTGTTTAAGAAAAATAGTCCGTAACACTTCATACCTTAACGCTACCATTCACTTCATATCCTAAACATCATTTTAAGTTATCTTATGCTTTGCAATAAATGTTTCTAATCAGGAGTCTTTTTTTACTTTTTGCGTTTATTGGTAAATGACTTAAATCATAAGACTTAGAGAATTGAATATATGTAGGTATTAAATAGAAAGAAAATGAATTTCTAAGAGGTAAAGCTTTTCTAATATCCTGAGCATTTGTTTAAGAAAAATAATCCGTAACACTTCATACCTTAACGCTACCATTCACTTCATATCCTAAACACTATTTTAAGTTATCATATGCTTTGCAATAAATGTTTCTAATCAGGAGTCTTTTTTTACTTTTTGCGTTTATTGGTAAATGACTTAAAGCTGTAAAATTTTGAGATATAAATATTTGTAGGTATTAAATAGAAAGAAAATTTCTAAAATTTAAAGTTTTTTTTTATAAACTGAAATATTTGTTAAGAAAAAATAATCCTTACCACTTCATTCATAGTCCTACACCAATAATTTATATTCAAGGATAATCCAATCCATATCTCATGAATGTTTCGTTTTAGGAAGCTTTTTTCAAAGATTGAAACTTTTAAGCGGAACATTTATCTTTGTATTATATCTGAAAATCTGTAGTGCTCGATTCTTTTTATGTGCTTCAGCGAAACTATCAAACAAAAGTAATTGTGAGGTCTGAATAATGATCCTGTACTACGAAGAAAAATTACACCCAGGAAGAAAAAAAAGAAAAAAAACATAAAAAGTACCGTATGAAATCAAGAATTTTCCTTTTTGGTGCTTTAT